TCCGATAGCATCTCACCTCTCCTGCTCTGACCTCCAGGATGCATACTCTGCTCACCTGGGCCAAGCTCCAGGTGGTTGGTTGTCCGGTTTTACACCTCGTTCATACATCTGTATGTATGCTCACCATAAAACCGGACAACCAACCACCTGGAGAGCAAGGCCCAGGTAACAAATCAAATCACATCTCAGCTCACCTGCCCTGACCTCCAGAATGCATCTCCTGCTGTGCGCCTTGTCCCTCGGCAGGATCCGCCTCACTGCACTCCGCAGCAGTGCCTCCCTCTCCCTCCCCACCACCCCACATTTCCCTACAACGTGTGCGTTTCTGTGTGCGTGCGAGCTTGCATGGGTGCATGCATGTGTGCGTGTGTGCCATTTAATGCCAACCCAAACCGCGTCTCACCTCACCTGCCCTGACCTCCAGAATGCATCCCCTGCTGTCCGCCTCGTCCCTGGGCAGAATCCGCCTCACTGCACTCCGCAACAGCCCTTCCCTCTCCCTCCCCACCACCCCCGCTTCCTCCTCCACCATCGCTCTCAGCTCCTCATCGACCTCCCTGTCCCCTTCCGTCTTCCCCTCCGCCCCTTCTTTGTCCTCCTTATAGTGCTGCTCCTGACCCCTTAGTAGCGCGTGCAGGTCCTCGAGCTCCTGAAGTTCGAGAAAGCAGGGGGGGAGGAGGAGTGAGGAGAGGCGGGTGGGAGACGGGGATGGACGGAATATGCGAAGGATAAACAGACGAGTCATACTACTTGGTGGCAACTGTTTAGTATACTTAGGCACTGTGTTTCTTTAGTAGCCACACACACACGGCCCGTGCGTTTATGATGCCACGAACCTTTACCTAAACGATGTCGCATACACTTACCAACTATGTAACACGTGCGCTGGCTGAAACACCACCACGAATGACTTAAAAGCCACTTACCAACAACATAACACGTGCCAAAAATACCAACTAGCCATAGCCCCATTAGCCTACCTTTGTCTTCTTCTGCAGCTCCAGTGCGATCGCGACAGCTGGCGCCAGCTCGCTCATCTCCTTGCCTGCCCTCGCCAGGTCATCTGCTGACGTGTCAGGCTGGCGTGGCAGGTAAGTTAGGCAGGAAAATTTGGCACCCGAGTGGGAACGAGAAACAATTAAGTGCACTGAACAGCTACTTGCTCGAGCCTAACCTGCAGTGAAAGGCTTTGGAGAATTCCAAAAAAATCTATCACTTGCTCCACCCTACCTAGCCTGCAGCAGCTCTGAGCTGAGAAGGCGCCTCATTTGGAAAAGCAGCTCCTTTTAGATTGCATAAAAAGGACAGGCCACACCTGCGAAAGCCGCTCCTGCAGCTGCTGGTGCCGACACAAGATGGCAGATAGCACCTCCCATCAACAAGACCACAGATAGCGCCTTCCCCAGAAAAGATAAGCCTCACCTGCGAAAGCAGCTCCTCCAGCTGCTGGTGGCGAGCCATGATGGCCGAGAGGCGCCTCTCCACCACTGCTGCTAGATCCGCCGGCATGGGCGGCTGTGGGGAGCCTGAGGATGCTGGAAGGAGGGAGAGTTGAAAGGCGGAGGAAGGGAGTTGAAAGAGGGAGGGAAGAGAGAGGACAAGACGGAGTGTCACAGCAGGAGCCAAGACAGCAAAGAGGGGTCTTTCCACCACCGCTGCTAGTATTGAGGGTGCGGCGGGAGAGAAGGGCAAGGGAATACGAGCTAAGAATCAAGCGAGAAAAAACGGCAGATAGGAGCCAATCCACCAATGCTGCTAGTTTCGTAGGCATAGGCGGTGGGGGGTGTGAATGCTGGAGGGGCCACAGGAACATAAGGGCAACCCAATAACCGATGGTGGGTTGCACCAGACGCAAAACCCACCATCGGTTGAGAAACCCGCGGACAACAGGAGCAGCTGGCTCAATCTCAATGGCTGCTTAGTAGGCACTCGCAGCAGTAGGCTCGGCCGACCAAAACCGAAAGCCTCATCTGACCGTCTGTTCACCGGCGAGACGCTGACAGCCGTCGATCTGGAGCACGCTCCGTGCGACCATGCTAAGGCGGAGGGATTGCGTCTTCGGGGAGTCTGGTTCAGAGCGAATAGCGGCGAGAGGGATTCGCGATTCCGCTCTGGGGAAGGCTCTGAAGGAAGTTGTAACACGGACTGCAACGTCGGCGACGCGAATGGCGAAGCCTGGTTACTCGCGAATTGGGGACTCCACCAACGGGTGAGCGCGAATAACGGCGACGCAGATTCGTGGCCTCGCTCTGGAGAAGAGTCTACTAAGGGAGGCTCTAGTAAGGAGGGCTCCAATGACGATGCGAGGGAGATCGTGGCGTCAGATGATGATACGTGGCCGTTATGCTGCTGTAGACGGCGGAGATGCGCGGAGAGGAGCGAGAGAGACTGCCGTCGCATCATGGAGGATAGGCGGGAGGGGATCGGCGAACAACCCGATGTATTAAACTCAATACGTAATCTGGATTCTAAAACTCGATAATTGATTCGGATAACCTTGTCTGCCAACACTATACTACCAATGTGTGTAGTGTGTGCTGGCTCCTAGTAACCACGCCTGGTTCTAGAATCTTGCAGGCAAATGGTGCTTTAGTAGAGGTTCAGCAACGGCTAGTCCGCCTGGCAACAGCCTCTGGCCATGGTTGCGCTCCCTCGAGGTTGTCGCAAGTGACGGGATTGGAGGGTTGGAAGTTTTTTTGCGAAACTTAGCCGAATCAGCACTCTGAAATTCTTTACTGACGGTCACGATTCCTTCGTGGTTGCGAGCAGCTTTCGAACCGAACCAACCAGTTTGACGACCTTCAACAGGCTTCTGCTGCTCGCCACTGGGGGGGTGCAAAATTGTTCGGGCAGCTACGCCCCAGCAATCCCAATACAGAGCCAATCCATGGAACAGCAGCCACTAGGGGCGTGGTACCTACCAAGGGTTCGATAGGCTCGTGTTTGAACAATCACCACACTGTACCCTGCTTGTATCTGACCGTATCAAGCCATACCGCTTTCAGCCTCTCTCGAAGTCCGAACGAGCGGCCAGTTTGAACCCAAGGTACCGCGCCCTAATGGCGTGCGTGCGTGCAAATTTGCTCAACACCCTACCCAAAAGCTCTAAAGATTGACCGAATCTCTTATCAACGCGAGGCACCTCACTTAAAGCCCAGGTCCCAAATTACACGCCGCGAAATCCAGATTTGGATACCGCGGCTCGGGATGGGGTGATTGGTGCGTGATTGGCTGCGAGGGTGGCGAAGGTTTTGGATTTCGAAATTGGAAAAGCGAATCCCGCCAACCAAACACAATTCGCAAACGGAAAACCACCTCTACTCACGCTCCCAGAGACAGTACCCTTACCAAGTCAAACGACAGCGCAGCCCAATCAGTAAACAAATAACGCGGAGCAGAACCGCGTCACAAACGAAAACACGTTGGCACCGCACCGAGACACCAAACCCACCAGCGAGAAATGCGCTGAAACAGCAGACGCGTACTGCACGGGGAAAAAGGGGGGAGGGGGGGGGGGGAACGAAGGGTGCGGCGAAGGCGAACGGAGTAGCAAGGGGGATGCGTATGGCGCAAACACGCACAATAACAAGAGTAAACGGGTCCGGACAGGAGAGAGCGATGTGATCACGCCTGGGCAGAATCGCGACACAACGCGCTCCCGCGTGAGAAGCGGGACTCCCGGACCCTGTCTAAAAATGTGCGCAGCTCAGGCAAGGCTAAGAGCAACGCGGGTTGAAACAAGCCGATGCACTCCTTGAGAATAGTAGGCGCGCGGAAGTAGATACCGGCGGGATAAAAGTAGGCGCGTTAGTTCTCCCCAAACAGCTGAAGCCGCGACTGCACTCGGGCAACCAAAGCGCACCACCTCTAAAATAGCGGCGCACCTTAGAAGACCCAACTGGCACGGGGGAACACCGCCCAGCAGCCACCTCCGCAAACGAAAAGCGACGAGGCAGCGCGAAGGCGGAAGAATGTGGGAAAACGAGCCTCGCTCGGATGGCCGCCAAGGTGCGGGCGAGTGAGAGATGCCGGTGGGGAGAGAAGCGGAAGAGGAGAGAGAGTGAGTGGGAGGGAGAGATTTGCCATCTCCTGCAGCATCGCCTCTCCCTCATTCCCCCAACTCCCTTCCCTCACTCCCCCCACTCCCTTCCCTCACTCCCCCCGCTCCCTTCCCTCACTCCCCCCACTCCCTTCCCTCATTCCCCCCGCTCCCTTCCCTCATTACCCCAAATCCCTTCCCTCACTCCCCCCACTCCCTTCCCTCACCCCCCCCGCTCCCTTCCCTCACTCCCCCCACTCCCTTCCCTCACTCCCCCAACTCCCTTCCCTCATTCCCCCAACTCCCTTCCCTCACTCCCCCCACTCCCTTCCCTCAGTCCCCCCGCTCCCTTCCCTCATTACCCCAACTCCCTTCCCTCACTCCCCCAACTCCCTTCCCTCACTCCCCCCACTCCCTTCCCTCACTCCCCCCACTCCCTTCCCTCATTCCCCCAACTCCCTTCCCTCACTCCCCCCTCTCCCTTCCTCCCTACCCCTTGCAGCGTTTCCTCCACTCTGTTTCCGCCTGGGCCCCACTCCATTCCTTATTCCCCGCATTTCCCTCCTTGGCTGGCTTCCTCTCCCATCCTTCCTTCCCCCCAACCCCCTTTCCGCCCTTCTCCTATTTTCGACTCAGAATCGCACCCATTCCCTTCCTTCTTGGCACCCGCTGCAGTGTTAAGCATTTCAAGGCACTCTAATGGAAGTCCCATCCTCTCATCTGCCATGCGCTCCCCCATCTGCCATGCTCTCCCCCAATCTCCCTTGCACTCCCCACACCTCCCTCGCTGTCCCCTCATCCTATGCTCTCCCCACATCTCCCTTGCTGTCCCCCTATCTCCTTGCAGAAGTGGGCGATGGCGAGCTGGGTGAAAATGAGGCATGTAGAGATTGATTGGAGATAGGGAGGGGGTCGATTTAGGAACTGTAATACCACAGTAAAGCCTGAGTGTTATAAAACAGTAGTAGTGTAATCAGAAAGGTCATATTCTTGAACCTGGCTTTATATAACTAATCGTGCTTGGTGATTCAGGGCTGACGAAGTCAAGAATATGAGTACACGCCCATGTATTTGTGGCACGACAACCCTGCCAACCTACCACCCTCAACCACCGCCTTCCAGCTGCCTTATAGCTCCGCCGCAAGCCACATGTGGTCCACTCGCAGTCGCCCTCTCCCCATTCTCGTCCCTGCAATATCTCCCCCACCAAGGGCATTCCCCTACCATCGTTCTTAGATTCAGAAATTGTCTTCGCTCACCGCGGCGCCATTCACTGTAACACTGCCGGCCAGAGAAGCAGTGGGGAGCGGTGGTGGGGAGATAGGCATCACCTCTCTCCCTGCGACTCCCTCCCTGCTGCTGCTGCTGCTGTGCCTGCTGCTGCTGCTGCTGTCGTTGCTGCAGCAGTCGCTGCTGCAGCTGGTGCCACAGCTTCTGGAGGTACAAAACCTGTTGCTCGGGAGTCAGTTTCTGCCATCTGGGGTTGTTGGCCAAAGAAGGGGGCACTGGGATACTACCAACAGAACCAGCAGCACCAGCAGCCGTGCCGGGATGCATAGTCCCCTGTCCGGTCCCTGCTGCACCGCCAGGTATACCTCCCCCAGGAATACCTCCCCCAGCCATGCCTCCCCCAGCCATGCCTCCCTCCCTCCCTCCCTGCCGCATCACCTCTCCCCCTACCTCCCTGCCGCATCACCTCCCTCCCTCCCTCCCTGCCGCATCATCTCTCCCCCTCTCTCCTCCCACGCCCCACTCTCCCTCCCTGACTCGGTTCAGCCTCAGCCCCTCTCCCTTCCTACTCTCTCGTTTCTCTGACTCTCCCTTCCTACTCTCTCGGCTCTCTGACTCTCCCTTCCTTCTCTCTCGTTTCTCTGACTCTCCCTTCCTTCTCTCTCGTCTCTCTGACTCTCCCTTCCTACTCTCTCGTCTCTCTGACTCTCCCTTCCTACTCTCTCGTCTCTCTGACTCTCCCTTCCTACTCTCTCGTCTCTCTGACTCTCCCTTCCTACTCTCTCGTCTCTCTGACTCTCCCTTCCTACTCTCTCGACTCTCTGACTCTCCCTTCCTTCTCTCTCGGCTCTCTGACTCTCCCTTCCTTCTCTCTCGTCTTTCTGACTCTCCCTTCCTACTCTCTCGTCTCTCTCCCCAACTCCCTTCCTACCCTCTCGTCTCTCTCACTCTCCCTCGTTATTACCACGCCTCACTCGCTATCCCACCCCGTTCCCACGCCTCTCTCGTCCTCCCTGCCTCCGTTCAACCTCGCTCCCTCTCCCTCCATGCTCTCACGCCTGACTCACTCCCTAAAGCGACGCCACTCTCCCCCTGATCTCGCGACTCACTCACTCCGTAAAGGGAATCCTCTCCCACTCCCTGCCCTTACGCCTCATTTCCTCCCTGAAAGGACGTTTCTCTCTCTCCCGATCCCCTCTCCTGCTGCACGCCTCACGTAGCAAGCAGCGGAAAGCGGGAAGCGGGATGCGGGAAGCGGGAAGCGGGAAGCGGGAATGGGGAATGTGGGAAGTGGGAAGCAGCGGGAAGTGGGGAGTGAGGGCGAGAAGCAGGGGGTAAGGAGCATCGGGAGGCGGGAAGCAGCGTGAGCGGGGGCGCGTCGCGGGTAGCGGGAAGCAGGTGGCGGGAAGCAGGCGCGAGGGTTGCAGCGGGAAGCGAGGAGCTGCAGGAACCGACGAGACGCTGTGGGAAGCGGCGAGCGCGAAGTGGGAAGCAGTGGGAAGCGGGAAGCAGAGGGAAGCAGGGGGCGGGAGCGGAAAGCGGAAATCAACGGGAGGGGGAAGAAAGGAAAGCGGAAAGCGGAACGTGCGAAGCGGGAAGCAGATGAAAGCGAAAAGCGGGACGCGAAAGCGGGAAGTAGAGGGAAGTGGCGAAGGGGCAAGCGGGAATCGGGAAGCAGGAGAGCAGAAAGCGGGACGCGGGAATCGGGAAGCAGGAAAGCGGAAAGCGGGACGCGTGAACCGCGATTCGTTTTGCGTCATGAAGCTTGGGCTCGAAGCAGCTTTCTTGGTGGTGGGGCCTAGGCAGCACATGCGGGAAGCAGTTAGAAGCGGGTAGCGGAGGCTAGCGGGAAGCGGGAGGGGTGACGTGGAAAGACGGGAGGGCTACAACGGGGCGTGAGGATGGAGGCTCGGAAGGGGCATATGCTTTGAGCCATGGACTAGGCTCGTGTGTTTACGCTAGTGGCTGGCGTTGTAAACAAAATGGTGTTTCTGCAGGTCCCAATTTACAAGCCTCGGTTGTCAACATTTTCCCTTGGCCATTTTTCCTGCCTAGGTTGGAGTTTGTGGTAGTACGCGAAACTTGATTTGCCACATCCCCCAATCAAAAGCCACCATTTCCTGTTCGGCTCTGCATTGCTCACTATTCACAAAGTGCATGGGGTAACCGTCCAAACGCGTTCCAGAATTGTTAACAAAAAACCTGGCGCCTTGTAACTTGGGACCTGGGCTTTAACCCTTCTAAAGTGAACTCTTAGGGAACTCCTAAGGACTTCCCTCCCATATCTACGACTGCCTGACCAGGAAGGCACCTGAAGGTTGTCAACATCAACTATTCCAGATTCTCTATCCTGAATGTGTGTGATGGATCCCTGACTAGCCACAGTTGGCCTCAAACAAATTAGTGCCAGCCCGTAGTTCGTCGGCCACGCGATCCACTCTAGAACGCGCATTGAATGCGCGAAAGGTTTCGCCGAACGATCTCTTCATATGCCTAAGTGTCGCCTATGTGTCTCGCTCGTGACATTCAACGACTAGGCAAGCTGGAGTGAACTTCCCTCATGTCCGTCATCCATCGTAGTAAGCCGGCCGGCTGTAGTAGTAGCCGTGGCATTTTCGCCGCGCGAACGCCATTCCCAGCGATGGGTTCGCAGCAGCCTTTTGAGTCGACTGAAAAGTCAGCTCGTAGTAGTTCTAGCCAAGACAGTTCCGTAGGGCGAATGCCTTTCCCAACGATGGGTTCGCAGCAGCAATCCACAGGGCTGGTCGCTCAGCCTCCGAAAGGCCTCTTCCTCGCGCTGCTCGCGTTCAGGTCAGCAGGGCCGACTGCTGAACCGTCAGCTGAAACGCCATGTGAGGGCCGACTGCTGAAACGACAGATGAAACTATTGTTGAATTGACAGGACAGATGATGCGACAGCTGAGACGATAGCTGAAACAACAGCTGAGACGACAGCTGAAACGACTGCTGAGACGACAGCAACGACAGCTGAAACGACAACTGAGGCACAGCTTTCAGGAAGGTCGTTTTATCGCGGTTTCTTCAATGCCCTAAAAGGTTGACGCTGTTCAAGCCTGAGCAGGTCGCACCACAATTTCCCTGCCATGCAGCGCTTCTCCCCCCCTCTCCCTCCCCCGCCTCCCCCTCCCCGTCTGGCTACCACCAGGTTGCTCAACAGCCTCGCCGTGCAGGCGTATTTCAAGCATCTGCACCTGTGTCCTCTTCCCCCTCCCCCCTCTTCTCCCCCTGTTGCCTGCCTGCCTGCCTGCCTGCCTCCCTCCATCCCTCCCTCCCTTTCTGCCTGCCTGCCACCAGGCTGATCAACAGCCTCGCAGTGCAGACGTATTTCAACCCGGACGAGTTCTGGCAGGGACCAGAGGTGGCGCACCGCATGGTGTTCGTGTGAGTTGGGTGGTTGTTGTAGGCGAATGCATTGTTTTCGGGGCGAGAGACTCTGGGGAACTTGACTCGTTTCAACCCCGTCGAGTTCTGGCAGGGACCAGAGGTGGCGCACCGCATGGTGTTCGGGTGAGTTGGGTGGTTGTTGTAGGCGAATGCATTGTTTTCGGGGCGAGAGTCTCTGGGGTACTTGACTCGTTTCAACCCCGTCGAGTTCTGGCAGGGACCAGAGGGTGTGCCTGACAAGCCCAGCAACCTGTTTTATTAGCCACTGCAGCGAGTCCTCCCCTGGCAAATCATGTGAATGCGCTTGACTAAGAAAACTATCGTGCCAATGCTGCAGTTGGTAGCTTAGGGTACGATAAGTGCGCTGACGCCAGCGGTAAAAAATATGAGGTATTCGTAAGATACAGCCTAGTCAGTCAGCCTTTTCTCGGAGCACCTAACACACTTGACAGATGACTAGGGTGTTGTGATAAATCGTCAAGTTACACTGTAGTTAGCATCCGTAGAATGACGTCAGCAAATAACGCTCGTCTGGATGCTTACGTCAGCAGGCCGTTTCAGTTACGCGAACAGTCGCGCTCTTTTCAGTAGCGGTTAGAGCGCATAGCGCAAATAGTTTGAACAGGTACATTACCGAATAGGTACTTCTAGTAGGTATAAAAGTAGCTTGTATTGTCACAAAGCTAGGTTAGCTAAGAAGAAAGGAGGCCATGAAAATGGCACGAGGTTTAGCTAGGAGAATTGACGAGAGAAAAGAGGGGTTAAACTAGAGGGAGAGAGGGATACAAGGAGGGGGTTGTACCATCTACAGTACAGTTCGTTAACCTACCAAGCCTACCAATTATATAACTAAATTTATAATTTAACACACCCCCTAGGCTTGGTAGTCACAAGCCCACACACACCCACTCCCCCTAACCGAGCACCCCCATTCCCATCTACTCCAGCAGGGCCACCCCGATGGCCAAGAGATGGCGACAGCGGCAGCCGCGGCAGCGGCGACAGCGACGACAGCGGCGGCGTGCGGCGGCAACAGGCCTGCGGCGACGGCGGCGGCGGCTTCGTCTGACGACTGCGGCGACGGCAGCGGCCCCCGCCCTTTCGGCGGCGTGTCCAAGCTCCGGACCGGGGACGACCGGCTGGAGGCAGGCGGCGGCTGTGGAGAAGAGGGGGGGACGCAGGGGGCGGCGGCTGTGGAGAAGAGGAGGGGGCGGGGCTTCAGATCTTCAGCACAGCGCCATTACTGGCGCGGCGCTTACTGGCGTGCGGGCGGGCTGCAAGTCCAGCGACTGCAGCCCAATGACGGCGGCTGCAGCCCGACGACACCGCCACGGCACCGATACGACACCTCCACAGCGTGGCGTCGGAGCCGCGGCTGCTCGTCGGAGCTGAGACGGCAGTACCAAGAGGCCGCCGCGGCATCTCAGAAAAGATGCCACGGCGGCAGGCAGGCGGAAAGCCGCAACGGCGGCGAAGTAACGACGGGTACGCAGCGGAAGCGTGGGGAGCAGGCCCGGGAAGGGCGGCCTGCTCTGAAACCATGTCACAAAGCTAGGTTAGCTAAGAAGAACGGAGGCCATGAAAATGGCACGAGGTTTAGCTAGGAGTTGACGAGAGAAAAGAGGGCTTCGACTAGAAGGAGAGAGGGATACAAGGAGGGGGTTGTACCCTCTACAATATAGTTCGTTAACCTACAAAGCCTACCAATTATATAACTAAATATATAATTTAACATGTATGACTTCAATTATTAACTTGTTCTTCAGTAAATTCTGATCAATACTTACAAGTTCTAAGACTTCCGCTGTCTTACTAGTCTACCATTCTAGCAAAGATCATTGGTTAAGTCTTGAAGTATCGCAAGGCTGTAATACTGATTCTGGTATTACAACTTGTTAATACCGCAATCCCCCGTATATAAGACCCGCCGAAATAGTTAGCCCATGGGTGGCATATGCGGGGGATAGCTTATCATATGGTACATTTTTTAGAGTACCTGCTGTTTCAGGGTTTGCATTTTACATAACACCCTACTCGTTTTTCTTGCCTTCAAACAGTATTTCGTCCTTCATTACCAAGGTCCGCTCAGCTGCAAAAAGCGAGCAGGACGAAAATCGCGTCAGGTGCCATTCGCAGCGCAAAGATGGGCAGACGAATCAATACAAGTGGCAAAACGAAATCGAAAGACAGCAAGTGTCGAAAGGATCTTGACTGTCCATCTTGCAGGTGAACCACCTCGATCACGTCAGCAGCAGCAATGGTCGAGAATATCTCAACTGCTTTCTGAAGCACGGAACTGGCTGTGTTCACAGTACTCAGATGAGGTTGATCAACGACACCTGGCACTGTTGCTGGATCAATCTCCCACGATTTTTAGAGGCAAGGAAACGACCCTGTCAGAGCGTGTGATCTCTGTAGCAGATTCCTCATTAGCAGTTGCTTGGTGAATTTATGGCCTCAAAGTGCATGTTACAACCCAAATTCATTTTGCATTTTACATAAGACAGGGGCTTTATATTTTTCCAGCCTACCCTTAACACCCATACGTTTTTTTAATGAAAATTTGACAATACCCTAGGGTGTTATATACGGGGGAATACGGTACTGGCTGTTACTGGAGGTACTCCCAGTATTACTTTATACTTCAAGTACTTGTGTCTGCAGATTCTATACTTAGTCTCCTGCACCACCTTTCAAATTCTTTCATGGTATGAGAGTTGTCTAGGATTAAGACTATTGTCAATTCTACAAATGATTGGACCATCATCATCTCCAACATTTGCTTCTTCAACAACTAGACCCACAGGTATTACAAATCCTACAGTCTTCACAGGCCAAGCAGGTGACTGGGCAACTGGAAATTTTCCACCTGCTTATTCTTCAATTGGGATGCCTCAACAACAGCAAGTTTTACCTGCTGTGCATCCATCGGGGATTTCATCATCTGCACCTGCAACATCACAGCAACAAACAGCAGCATCATTAATAGCGGCCTTTAGTGGTATGAGTATTGATGGTTCCAGTTATGCAAGATCTGCAGCTGTTCCAAACTCCAGTTCCTCGTTCGCGTTTACACCTGCTCAACATCAACAGTTTCAATTTCTTCAGCAACGGCAACAAGCACAACAACAGTTTCAGAGACAACAGCAAAATCAACAGCAACAGCAACAGCAGTTACCGCAGCAACAACAACAACAATTTCCGCAACAACAAATTTCTTTTACTGGACCTGTTTTTTAGGCTCCAAATCTTATAAGCAATACGCAGATAAAGACAACAATACCTTTTAATGGCGTCAACTTCTACTCTTGGAGTTTCGAGTTCGAGCTCCTCGCGAAATCCGCTGGACTATTGCAGTTCTTCAGTGGCGATTATTCGTATCCTGTTACGGGAACACAGATGGAGCAGCAAAGTTTTCTTCATGCTTCACTCAGTGCTTACACAGTTCTTATCCGCAATCTGTTATTGAAGGAGCAGCTTGGTATACGCTCGCTTCACACCAGTTTGACTCCAGCCGAATTTGCGTGGACGCATTTGAAGGGATTGTATATGGCACAAGACACCA